CAAGTCAACCCAAACGAGCTTCGAAGCTTGTCATTTTCGCCAAAACCCAAGATTCGGACAATCCGAACCAACTCCGAGCCTGATATTTGGCCATTTATTCAAGGCACAACCTAAATCCCGTTATCGCAGCCGTACATTTCTTCCTTGCCTAATTTTAACCGTCCGACAAAGCTAAAATACATTAATGGGGGGAACACTGATTTAGGTGGACACGCTTTATAACTTACACGCTTTGTAACTGTTAGGTTTTCGATACCCAATAAATTTCGGAAGGCTTAAATTTTGACCCAATTATATTCTCTTTTGGAAGGCTTAAATCTTGACCCGTTTACCTCTTTAAAGGTCCAAATTAAAACCTAATCTTAGAGTATATATATGACCATAGCCCTAGCCACTTTTCTTGTGTGGTTTTGAGAGAAAAAAATTAAGGAATCCCGACTACCCTTTTGTGTGTGCTCAATTGAAAAAAGAGGTAGCCGACTTTTCTATTGTTTTCTCTCGAGTCTTGAATTTGAGCCAGTCTTCCTCTATTCTTTGTTATTCATTATAGTCACCATATTGTGTTCTTTGTGAAGACATTGAGTTGAGCAACCGAAGTAAAAATCGTTATTTGGATTGGAGTCATATTTGGGTGTGTTTAATAAGGTTGAAATTGATGAAACTAAGTCCGAAAATTTCACCATCCGAGGTCGATCCTACAATTAAATGGACATTTTAATGAATTTATCATTTAATTAAACCTAATTAAGTTCAGCATTATTTTTTAGTCCTTCTGTAACATTTTCTCTCAATATACTTATACGAATTCCCGTAATTTCTCTATTTTTCGGCCATTTTTCCCGGTTGATTTTCCGCAACGATTTCCTTGTGATAGGTTGAAGTAGAAGCTATTCTGGCTGCTGAAAATCCGCCGATTCACTGGGTATGTGTGTGTATGTAAGCAAGAAGTGATTGCAATTATTTTTTGTTCTTGAAAAATGTGTGCCGAAACAGAACCGTCTTTTGACTGAGAATATTTGCCAAATAGTTTTGAATTTTTGAACTGAGGGTTGAAAATAGCGGAAGCAGGAACCGTCGTTTGACTGAGATTGTATGCCAAGTAGTTTTGAATTTTTGAACTGTGTAAAAAATAGTCAACTAGTCTACATTGTCAAAAAAAATTAAAATTAAAAAAAATAAAATGAGATTGTGAGATTTTGAGAATCTATTATTGCGAGCGTGTATTAAATGGTGTGGGCGACGTGTTTACTCGTTGATGGTGGTGATGCATGCTTGTTCATTTCCAGTGAGGATAGGGTGATAATAAAACAACTTTGTAGGCCTTGATTCGGTGTATGTCGGAGCATTAAAGTTATTTGGACATCTGTGTTTTCCATTCAAGTGATGGCGTCAGTGGTGGAGAATCGATCGGTGGATCCGTTGCTAAAAGATCTGAGTGAGAAGAAGCGGAGCTTCCGTCGGAACGTGGAGTCACTGGCGGCAGAGCTAAAGGAGGTCCGCAGCCGTCTAGCTTCGCAGGAACATTCATATGCTCGCGAAAGCCTTAACAGACAGGTTCGACTCTTTGTTTTTGGATCTGTTTTGATTTTCATAAAATTCATGTATGTATATCTGGAAGTGAATAGTGATATGAATGAAATGATTTCTACCTTTTGTTTTAGTTTAGAAATTCTGGCGAATGTTCTGTGGGTCACCAAATCTTTTCAAAATCATGAATAGTTTAGAGATTGTGCCACTAACAATCTGTTTCTTTTATTTTTATTTTTAGGGGGTGTTTTATAGACTTTTTTTATATAGGAAGTGTGTGGTTGAAAAATAAGGAAATATTTTTGATTTACGTGTAATATTATTTTAATAAAGAATGTGTGGTTGAAAAGAAGAGAAAGAAAAATACATTTTGAAAAAAATGGGTATCAACGGGAGCTTAATTTATATTCATACCGGAAGCAGAAACCAGAGCCCAGTACCTGGAAAAAGAGATAAGTAGATTGCAGAATAGTTTAGAGGAAAGAAATCAGCAGCTTCGGGCTACATCATCTGTGGCCCATATGGTACTTATAATCTCTCTCTATATTTGTCTGCATTTTTCTTGTAATTGAATTTTGGTGAAACTGATGATCTGTAGATCTAATTTTTCATTTTGTTGTATAGGTTACTATCACATACTGATCCTCTTTTAAGGGTACTTTTTGGCTTTTCTTATTTATTCTTTTGGGAAAGTAAGAGTGATAATCATATATTGTACTAATATAAAAAAAAAAAGGTTGAATCCCAAACCTTGAGAGTTCCCATCGCCTGACCTCTAAAGCATCGTGAGGGAGGTAAATCGCAGATATGCTTCAACACAATCAGGGAACGAGAGCTTGCTCGTACACTGGTACTCATAAAGAGTCAAATTCTATATTTTAGGAATCGAATTCTCATACTGCGGTTGTCAATAAGACTGAGACTACCTCATGTCTGTCCTTTTACACCACTATAATTATATCTTCTTGAATATTGTGGTATTATGAATGGTTCTAGTGTCTTGTCTCCTTGTAAAAAAAAGCATGTACTTTCCAAAATAGAGGTGTCTTGGACTGCTGTTACTTCTCCAAATTAGCACTTTCTTAAATGCAGCCATTTTTTGGTGTCTTCATTTTCCAATTATGAACTCTTTTAAGTGTATCCACCTACCTTCTCAGTTATTCTCGTTTCCATTCCCATTTTTTATTATTGGTAATGTTGAGCATTGATTTTAATGGACAATTATGCTGTGTGGTTGAGGGAGAAAATTATGTTTAAGGAACAATCTAGTGGTTGAAGATAAGAAAGTAAAAGAAGAGATGGGATTTGAGTAAATCCACTCAAATCTAATGCAAAATTCTTTTAGTTAATCTAATTCAATAAAGAGATTACATAAGAGTACATTGGGTTAGAATAATTGCAACATTAATTTTATATGACCCCCGGGTCCGTAAATGAAACTCAAACAGTGGTAGAGTTCGTCTCTTAATTCTCACTGACAAAAATTGTTATAAAATGCCTGAAAAATCACCATGAACTTCGATCTTGACCGAAAAGTTTTCGTTTGTGACATTTAATAACCGTCAATCCAGGCTTTCTGTATCCTCCATTGTTTGCACCACACTAGATATGGAAACAAGTATGAACATGTATTGGTCACCCAAGCCTTTTGATTAATACTTGGATTCGAAGCTTGTAGCAGCTAATTGATAGCTATTGCAAAGCGTATCATCCTAATATCTATAGGTTAATTATTCTATATCATATATTTGACATTGAGTCAATGTAATTTTAGAACATGACAAAACATTCGTAGTCAATGTAATTTTAGAACATGACAAAACATTCGTAGTTATATATTTAGATTTTTATTTTTATATGCTCTCTATAACTTTTTAACGAATCGAGAATGGGAAATAATGCTGCTAGAGCTGAGCAAAAACAATGAAGCACTTGTTATATTACTTAGGCTGTTCTGCCTAATATTTTTACTTTGAAGCTTATACCTTGCTTTGATGAGATAAAAATGACTTGTCAATTTCCATTATCCTCGTCAGTAGCAAATCTTATCCATTGATCTTGTAAATTTGTTAAAATTATCTCTAGATAAGCACAAATTCATGGTCAATTTTTAATGCTTCCAAATCAACACCCTATTAAAATCTATAACTATAATGGACACAGACCCAAAACAGTGAGAAACTTTTTCACTTGTTTTGTTCATTTTTATATATATTTTTTGGCTTATATTCCATGGTGAATACTGCCTAATTTTATGAGTAAAAATGGAATTTTGTTTTCACCTCAGTTCTCTTTTACCTATCCACCATATCCTATTGCATATTGTGTTTTCCTTGCTTAATCTTAATTCTGATCCTCGTTCTTTTATTGATAATGTATATAGTATGTGAAGGATTTGGATAATCTGAGATCACAGCTTTCAGCGACTAAAGCAACAGCGGATGCAAGTGCGCTATCTGCTCAATCTGCACAATTACAGTGTTCAGCACTGTTGAAAGAATTAGAAGTGAAAAATTGCTCTTTAAAAGAGCACGAGATTCGTGTGAATAAACTGGGACAACAATTAGATCTTCTTCAGAAAGATCTTCAGTCAAGAGAATTTTTTGAAATGCAACTCAAGGATGAAGTCTTGAGAATTGAGCATGAGATCATTCAAACATTGGCTAAGGCTGGAGCAAATAAAGATTGTGAGCTCTGGAAAATATTAGATGAGGTTTCCCCGAAGAATTTTGAGAAGATGAATAAGCTATTGACTGCAAAGGACGAAGAATTAGCTAAGTTGAGAGATGAAGTCAGGATTATGTCTGCTCATTGGAAGCAGAAGACTAAAGAGTTGGAGTCTCAGGTTTGTTATCTTAACTTGTTTCATAATAGTAACTCTTGAATTGGTTCTCTCATTAGATCTAAGATTATATTTTAATGATCCTTACCTCGTATGTTTGACAGTTAGAGAAGCATCGTAGAGCCGATCAGGAGCTGAAAAAGAAAGTCCTCAAGTTAGAGTTTTGTCTTCAAGAAACTCGATCTCAAACTCGGAAGCTCCGAAGGGTAATTTTCCTTTTATCTTTTATAACTGGTATCCCCATATCATGTTTAATGCACCCCATGGATTACTATTACGGAAGGATGGATCATATATTGAAAAATGATTTATTAATTTACAGCAAATTGCAAAGTAAATATGACTTTAATTCACTACATCTACATCAATATTTGTATAACTATTCTTCTTCTTCTTCTTCTTCTTCTTTTTTCTTCTGGTCGTGTTAATTACTGATGGCATTGACTCTTACTCATATCTACTCCACAGATGGGAGAACGAAGAGATAAAGCGCTGAAGGAACTAAGTGAAAAATGATTTATTAATTTACAGCAAATTGCAAAGTAAATATGACTTTAATTCACTACATCTACATCAATATTTGTATAACTATTCTTCTTCTTCTTCTTCTTCTTCTTTTTTCTTCTGGTCATGTTAATTACTGATGGCATTGACTCTTACTCATATCTACTCCACAGATGGGAGAACGAAGAGATAAAGCGCTGAAGGAACTAAGAGATCAGTTGGCAGCAAAACGACAGGGTACACCAATAAATGAAAAACATAACATATGGGAAACTTCTGGTTTCAAGATTGTAGTTTCCATGTCAATGTTGATCTTAGTAGTATTCTCCAAGAGATAATTTGATCTTAGTAGTATTCTCGAAGATGTAATGTTATCGTATTTTCTTTTCCTAATGTATACTAAGATCAGATGCATAGTGGTAAATTCGATTAGAATAGTGCAAGATTTTGCACTGAGGGTCATTTTCTTTTGTATTTGTTAGAATCCAAACTCCGACCTCATTAAAGTAAAAAATTTCTCAAATCACCCTGCATGCTTTAAACACCAAGGTCGGACGCGTTAGCTTCCCTGGATTGTTGAGTCACATTCCGCGATTTACCTCCCTCACAAAGTTTTAGGGACGGGGCGGTGGGGGCCCTCAAGATTGGGGTTCAACTTTTTTTTTTTTTTACTTAGACATAATGATGCCTAAATAACTGCCACATCATGTCTCTCCCCTCACCATTCTTCAACCAATCAGTTGCCGGTAATAATTAATTGATAATATCTTTTCCTAATGTATACTAAGATCAGATGCGTAGAGGTAAATTCGATTAGAATAGTGCAAAATTTTGCACTGAGGGTCATTTTCTTTTGTATTTGTTAGAATCCAAACTCCGACCTCATTAAAGTAAAAAATTTCTCAAATCACCCTGCATGCTTTAAACACCAAGGTCGGACGCGTTAGCTTCCCTGGATTGTTGAGTCACATTCTGCGATTTACCTCCCTCACAAAGTTTTAGGGATGAGGCGGTGGGGGCTCTCAAGATTGGGGTTCAACTTTTTTTTTTTTTTTTTACTTAGACATTATGATGCCTAAATAACTGCCACATCATGTCTCTCCCCTCACCATTCTTCAACCAATCAGTTGCCGGTAATAATTAATTGATAATGTTGCAAGGTCTAGGCGTAATGATGACCTAACAAGGCTTACCTTGTCAACCAATCAAAGCAAAGGAAACTTGGATAAGAGGCACAAGTTTCCATGAATGTACTGTAGCTGAAATGACATGAATCGGCCAATTGGTGTGAATCAATGGATCCCTCCCAAGGGAGAGCTGGGATTTTCTCAAAGCGATACTTTATTCTTTGGATTACTCTTGTCTTATCATGTATGTTGTCCTTAGATTATTGGAAATAAACACTTCTTTTTCTCTTTGATTGTGAAATTACCTTACATTTTTTGACATCAACATCATTCAACAGCATAACCCTCTTGTATGCACAATTATTAGAATGAAGTGGTTATTATGGCCTCAAGTTTAATGACAATATGGAATTACATAATTATGCGTTGCAGACTGATGAATTATATGAGCAGCAAATAATTTGAAAACCTTTATTTATATATATCTATATGGAACATGCTATTACATCTAATAACCTATTCAATTTCAGCTTCTTCCTGTCCTGCTCCTATTGATTGGCCCCTCTCGAGGTATTTTTTAGGATGATCTAATATATAGCTGCAGAACTAGTAGAGTACATGTAGAAACTGCATCTAGTGCTATTCAGTTCGAAACTTGAGCAGAAAATGACTGATGAGAGCCGAGCACCAAGAATTCTTGACTATTTCCTTCTTCTGCAAACATTTGTACAGCCCAAAACTGATACACTACTTGTGCAATGGTCATCTGATCCATTTATGTATGGAGAAGGTTGCCTCTAATATCAAAAACAAATCTTCCAGTGATAATGGATGTCACTGAAATGATGCAGCCAATAAATGGCTGCAAACTACTCGATGAGGAAATTGAAGCGTTGGCACTTGAAGGGCTTTCACCAAAGCCTGCTGTGGTGCCTCCATATCCAGGATTGCTATTATTTAAGATTGACGGACTAATTGAACTGCAAAAGAGAAAATAACGCGATAAGATGACTACTACATAATACTGAAGAAGCATTTAAGGACATGTTTGGTATGTAGTACTAAATAATATTTTAGTTTCCTTCAGTGTTTACCCAGGGGCTGCTCCAGATGAGGTTCCTGTTGTTGGCATTGGAGTTGCCGTGATCGGGGATGTCGTTGATGATGATGATGATGATGATGTAGAGGATGATGATGTTGGGAAAATGCAAGAACCAGTGCCTGAGTGAAAAAGCAGAAATTCGTGAAAATAAGCTTCCAACTTATTCTTCTGTATAAGATAGGTCCATTGAATTATTGTGCTTACTTGGATTAACATTTGTTGTCACAGCAGTACCCCCGAAATCACAGCTAGTTTGCACTGGATTTTTCTGATAATAGCTATTAAAGGCAAACGATGCATGATATTGCAAACTGGTGGGATTATAGCAGTTTGCACCTTGTTGGATCGCCGAACAATCTGCGCCTCCAAGCCCACAAGCATAATCGAGTGCTGACTGAAGTGTGGTCTCTGGAACTCCGTTCTTTGCAATGCACCAGCTCTGCCCCGGAACTGCAGGTGCGCTGGTAATCGGGCTAGTGGTTGTGGGAGGAGCCACCGGATTTGTGACAGGTATACCTCCTGTCGGGGTGGGATAAGTTGTCACCGGATTACTCACGGGCTGACCTCCCGCATTGGTACTAGGAGTAGTGACTGGATTGGTTACTGGTATTCCGCCATTGACTGGACCAGTATTCGAGACTGGGACTGGCACTGCGTTCGTGAAAGGTGGTGACGGGGTAACTGTGATGGGATTTGCAGGTGGAACGGTGACAATATCGGGAGCGGGATTGGCCGGAGGGGCATTCACTGCGGGGGTCGTCACAGGATTTGTGACGGGGGTCGTCACAGGATTGGTCACCGGTGTCGTAGGAAAGGTTGCTGGTGCATCAGTGAAATCGTGTCGAATTGCTTTGTAAAGTAGTCCTCTGTGCATCATATGTAATGTATGTTGTTCTTGTCTTTCAAATTCTATCTGCTTATTAGCTTCAGCTGGGCACAGAAATATCCCTGCAAATAATACAATTTTTTCTTGTATTATTATTTGACTGCTGCTATAATGCTAAATTTATTAGTATATTTGGCTATGAATTGATAACCATTGACACGGAAACGCTCAAAATAATGGGAAAATTTGTACGAGTTTTTCCTCTTCAAATTACATATAAAAAGATCTAATTTATATGTATAAATGATCATAAAACAAAGATTCTTTTCTATAGTAATTACACGATCAAACTAATATAAATAAATCTTGTTTTAACTGAAGAGCTAGAAAATTATTCATGCATGTTTCACGGTCTAACACTCCGATAATTCAAAGATAGTAAGATTTTAAATTTCTTTAGAAGGATAATAATTGCTATTTTTGAAAATCTTTCACTCTTATACATTTAGTTTCAATAGGAATCAATAAGTACTTAGCATGGAAGCATGACTTTGCTTTCCTATCAACGTCAATGTAACAGTACCAGGTTAAGCCTTATTCTCTATAAATTTGAACGGTTTCAAGAGAGTATATACTTACCAGAAGAGCAGAAACAAATAATAGATAGGAAGAATAAGAAGAGAAACTGTGGAGCCATATTTTAGGAAGAAGTTTACAGTTTCTGGGCTAGTTTCCAAATGGATTTTTAATGCCAATTACGACAGTTTTTAAAACAAGAATGAAACAAGATGGGCTTTTAGACGGAGCAAAAAAGTCTACAAGATAAAGGTGCATGAGAAAAGGATGAAAAAGTAAAAGGAAGAATATGTGATGACGATGATAAAGTAAAGTGATTTCTTTGTGGTGAAGAATGAAATTGAATATCTTTTGCCTCTCTAAAGTCGAAAGAATCAACAAAAACAGCCCATGTTCCATATCTTTACAAATATTAGCTCGAAATTAGCAGAATTTGGCAAGGTGGTGAAGCACATGCATGCTCAAACGTAAAGAAGTGGATAAACCTCATCTCCGTTTGATCTAAGTCCCTATTTGACAACCATTCCTTCTCATTCTTTTTTCTCGTACTCATTTTCAATCAGGGGCGGACGCAAATATTCTTAGTTAGAGGGGCACAATCAAAATTTTTACAAATCGAATACTTTGTTCTTAATTTTTGAATGATTTATAATTGACTGAGAAAATACAGATTTACATTTAAAAAATATTTCTTCATTCATATTTTGCTCATCGTAAGAAAATAAATATTTATATTTAAAAAATTTATAGTGTATTTAATACAAACAATCAATTCAAGTGATCAAAAGAAAAAAAACATATAACCAATATTCAATCAAATAAATATAATTCTTTAAATATAAGTTAAATTGAAGATAATCAATTCAGTCACATTCTATGTACACAAATAGGATAGAAGAAAATGCAAATTTAGGTTCTAATTAATTGAAAATTTGTAGTAGATATGATAATTTATAGAAAAATTATAGAAAATTTTTAAAAAATTAGAAGGGTTAAGGTTTTGGTAAAATATGTGAAAGTGAATGTAAGATAGAACAAGAGAAATGAGAAAAAAATTCAAATTTATTATGATTTTGTCTCTGTTTGATGATGGTTAAAATTAGATTTTTAGTATATTTTGATAAAAGTTAAAAAGTTAAGGATTCGATGAAATATGTTATTAAAATTAATTATTAACTTTGATTTATATTAAAATTTAGATTTCAATTAATACGAAACAGAACTTATCAAAAAAAAAAAAAAAAAGGGTCAAATCTCAAAAGTTGGGGAGTCACATGACCCCCAGGACCCCACTTGGGTCAGCCATGTTTTCAACTACATATTTACAAAACAAAATATTCTTCACGTAAACCTAAATTTTTTTTTTTTTTACTTTTTACCACACATTCTTCCAAATTTAAAACTTGTTCTTACCACAACAAAGTTCTGTAAACCGGTGGCTAAACTTTATTACAATTAAACTACTTGTACAAAGTAGTTTGACAAAAATGGTTGACAAAGTGTGTGTACAAGATCAAGATCAATGGATTTTGTTGCTTTCAAGAAAACTGTTTTTGAATTGAATGGTCTTAATTTTGACAACAACCACTTTGTCAACCTTTTTTGTAAATCTACTTTGTAAGCATACCATCACTCACTTTATTATTACGTGTACTAGTTTCGAGGATGGATGAGATATAGTTAGGGAAGTTTTTGAGAGAATGTGGGTTTATGGCGAAAATTGTTTCGGGATCCCTTTCTAAAGTTAAATTGTTGATGTCGAAAATTTCTGAAATCTCTTGTATCAACTTTCTACAGAATCATGCCTTAAATTTGCCAGAAAGGATATCCATACACGAGTTCAAAAGGGAGGTGGTGATTTGCCTTCTCTGATACTTGAGTTAATGTTCGAGTTGTGGTTTGAAAATTGAACGGGTTGTGTTTTGGATTCATTCTAAAATGTACATGTACTTTATCCCCTTTCTGACAAAGCATTTTGATGAAATGTGTGGTTGAAAAATAAATAAAAATTGTGGGTCCAATAAAATGACATTAAAAAAAAAAAAAAAATTAGAAAAAGCTTTACCAGACAAGATATTGAGTATGGTGGGAAAATGAGTATTCTTAGACAAAGAAATTAGATGTAAGGCCTTATTCAAGGATATATGTTAGCTAAAGGTGGTCGATATTGACGGCTTTCTCTTGCACTAAAATACATCCATAAGCCATATTAAATTCAATTTCAAGGGTGACAAGTGCCTTGTTGTTGGTTGAGTAGTTTAATCGAGTGCAACTAAGTTACTCAACCTGATATACTTTTTATAAGCATTATGGTGAATCAGAGATTTTGATCGTTACCTAACTCAAGAAACTTTTTGCTAGTCACTCCTCGACTTTATGTAGGCTGGTCTAACCCATTTTACATGAAATTGATGGGTATATCACTATTCATTAGTAGGCAAAGCCAAAGCGATATCTTATCACCACATATTGTATAGCTTATCTAAAAAATGATACACTGCCCAATCCTCCAAATATTTTAAGACCCACATTTTATTTTACCGACACCCCTTTTTCTTTACATGGTCATGAATGGACATAGATTGTTTAAGTAGAGTTATTTTCATGGTAGATCAATCAGAAAATTCTAGATTTTTTTCTGGGTTTGGACACACAAATAGTTGATCAAGGTACAAGTGGACCCAAGGAAATAATCTTGAAGAGACTCGTAATCCATAAAAGGAAAAATGAAATGAATCAGAAATAGGATTAACTAATGGTCCAAACTAAAGGGGGCCAATGACTAGAAGAACGTAATTTTTGCTGCTTATTATTATTATTATTATTTTCTTTAAATTAGTCACTTTGTAAGTGACCAAAATGACAACTTTTAATTTACGCGTGGAGTATGAAATTTATCCTTTAAAAAAAAAAAATTTATATGGGTGAAGTTCGGTAAGTTTACAATTTTTTAGGCAAAAAGATAGCTTCGAAGATGATATCATTATCCACAAGAAGCTAGCCTCTGTGACATTTTTCTTCCTCCAATACGATTCAAATTATCTCGTTACACATTAAATTGTCTAAAAATGCATAATGCTAGGTAATACCCAAGCCTTTACGGCAATTCTCTATCTTAACAATAGTATAAAGTTCTTTGAGAACACGTATTGTCTTGTGGGAATCGATTGTAACTTTCTTTTTTTTTTTTTTTTTTTTTTCTTTTTTCTTTTATCGGAAGGTGACAATTTTATAGTATTTGTAAAAATTAACTATTTCATATCATGGTATACCATTTCTCTTTTGCCTTTTTAATTTTTTGTTTTGTTTAGTTATGAGTAGGGTGTAGTTTTTCCATCAAGCTCGAACAATTTTCGACCCATCAACTTACTAGCAACAGGGACTGTAAATTGGAATTGTGAATAGATCATAACATACGATTAAACAAGAAGATGTTTCTTTACATTTGTTTACATGGTTCGAACCTAACCTAAGCTAAGCTGTAGATTCGTTCCCATGGTTCAATCCTCTCGCAGGCGCCTTTTACTTTAATGAACTTATTACACATTATTAAGTGCTAAAAAATTAAAACTTGAAGAGCCAAAGAAATTGTTTATATATATCTGATGGCAAAGATGCATTTAACATGGCTCTGATTTGTGGAAGAATCAGCTACTTTTTTTCATCTTTGTGACTTAATTCTGCTTTTTCTAAATGAATATAAAGTTTGTTGTCTGATTCATGTTACCCTCAGCAAAAAAGAAGGAAGGCCATATCAGATAATTTTAAATAAATAGATTAAAGGATTTTGCTGATTTTGGGGGAAAACAGAGTGGCCTATTCGTTATATAAAGAACTTGTGCCTTTCTTGACTTTTTTTTTTTTGGGTACATTGAATCAAAATCTGAAAAGACTTAACAGATCTTTGTTTGTTGAAGTTAATACAGTGTAATTCAGTAGCCCAGGCATCTCATTTTCTACACTGGTAATCTGGTAGAAAAATATGACCGTAATCAAGCCCGTGTGCAGCGTGCACTGAGTCGACTTAAAGGTGACCCAACCAGCTTTACACCTAGTCGTGAATTCTCAAAGTCCAGCTCTGCTTAATATTTATTCCACCAAGAAGTTAGATGTTTGAGAAGAAAAAAATTTCATTTGGGTTCATACTTGCTTAAATGAACCATAATAACTATGTTGTCTACATCCGTGTCGCTCTATTACCATCCTATCATGCGCGATTCGCACTCAAATATAGCATAGTTTTTGTGTAAGAAAATGTGAGGAGAAAACGCATATTTATATTACCTTTTTACGAAATAGTACTATTTCAACTCTGAGAAGCGTAACTTGTGATTGAGCATCACTGTCGTTACGTGTCATTTTACTTGCATACATGCATATTTACGTTATTAGTAGCATAGATTGGAGACAATCATGCACTACAATCTTGAAACCAAACAATCAACTTAGAAGTAAAATACCTTTTCCGTGGGGCAATGGTGAAAGGAATTAGTCGAGAAAGTAATAATAGAGCGAGGTAAAAAGACTATATTTCACCTTGCAAGAGAATACAGCAACAAAATAATCTTTGTTTTTGATACATATACACAATTGAAAATGATTATATATTTTCACCTTCTTTGGAAGTTCAACTTCCCAATACAATATGAAAAAAGATAAGCAAAAAGAATAGGGCAAAGAGTTAAAATTACAGCCACAATAGGTAATTGACTATAGTGAAACCCAAAAAAAATCATTTAGAAAGGTTTTTACTGTTTCAGTTTCTCCAAACACATCAATGTCCTTTTCAAGATCTCCATATTGTGAAGTAAGCATACAATTTAATGTCCAAGAAGAAGGTGCTAGATAATGGAACCACACCCACCATGTCGGGATTTGCTGCAAATTTAAACAACAAAATTGTTTTGTTTAGTACATAGCAATATAGAATGAAATTATAATGATATAAAAGAGTTCTAATATCGCATGCACGATTTATAACACTTATGAAGAGAAGAAAGGCTTACCGGGCGAGGAATGAGGAATCCAGAAAACAGGTTGAGCATCGAGTAGAAGATTGACTATCCAATTGCAGCTAGTGGAATGCTTGGCGTCATAGAGATTAGCAACATTCCTTGATAAGTGAAGTATGCTAATATACAAAACATAGAATAGAAGTACAAGAACACCTTACATGGTGACCAATAGAATCCAATCATCGGATA